CCCCAAAACCCCAAAACCCCAAAACCCCATGAAGTGAATTTTTGTAATTATGAAATTAAACTTAATAATCAATCGTAAATCATCATTAAATACTTAAATTGCTGGCATGATTTAAAGGTTCTTAATCTTTTTATTCATTTAATTATTGTTCAGTTAATTTTTTATTAGCAATCTTTTTGTACTGCGGAAATTAGTAATAAAATCCTACAATGTAGAGAATAATATTAGCTGATAGATAAACTAGAAATATAGGGTCAAATGCTTCGATTATCTTGAATTACGAATAAATCTCAAGTGTAAATGGGTTTCTATAACCTGGTGCTACTTGTCCTATTGCAGCAGGAATTAAAAATGATCCGATCATACAGCATATATTAAGAAACATTATATCTTTCCAAAAGAACATAAAAATAGCTGAAACTATCCCGGTTCCACAACATAGTAACCAAAAGCCTAAAAACGAATTTATGTTGTACCCAAAAAATATGTAAAGCAAGACTCCTAGCATGTAACCCCCAATTAAAGCTAGTAGTAATTAACCAGCTCTTTTAATCTTTACCATCAAAATTCCAATATTTGTTCCAAACAAAAGCGATAAAAGAATTACCACGAATCCAGGCCACACCTTTGCTTACTTATTAAAATAAGGTGTCTAATATAATCCGATCCAAATGGGAAAAACAGGAATAAATAAGCCTGCCAGATAAATGCTAGCTCTTTTAAATCTAAAGCCAAAAAAGCAAAAGAATATCCCTATGGCAAGCATAGTAATCATTAATGGAACTCTAACACTTTTGAAAAATATCCAGAAATGCCCAATTGATGAAGTTTCACAAGCCACATCATGTGCTCCTTTAATAAAAATCGTGCAAGTTGTATTTAGAATGTCTGAAAATTATACCTAAAAATATAATACTTCAGGAAGACATAAAATTTATAGGACAAGTCTTGGTTCATTTTTGCATTCTCCATCTAAAAGGAATTCTGATGTACTATAAAGATCAATGAAAATATCAATTTACCTAGAAAATATTTAGATTTTAACATAACGAGTATCAATTATTTCAAACTTCGTCTTCTCCGGTTGATCTCCTAGATTTTAACTTATGGTTTTATATGGTATATGGGAGGTATCTGTATAATTATATACTGCAATTGATGAGTCATAAACTCCAGAATTCTATTAAAGCAGATATCTGCACAATGAAAAAGCAAGAGATCTTTGCGACTAGTCTCTAGTATAAGCTTGATAATTAACAATATTTATTAGAATGTCATTGTCCCTAAAATAAGATAATCAATATTGAAATATTAAATTATCTTGAATATATAATATAA